CGCGCCCCTGTGGGGGTGGCGCCCGGGAAAGTTCCCCTTGGAGGGTCCCCCTCCTTGTGCATCCCGAAGAGCCCGGGTCCCCCGCTCCGCGGCGTCGGGAGGGAGCGTTGGGTCGGAGGTGGCGGCGTGGTTGGATCGCCCCCGCCCCTCCTCTGTCCCCTCCTCTCCCCCGCGCGGGCACCGACGGACCGACGGACGGACGGACGGACCGACGCGCTGGTGGCCGCGGAGACCTCACTGCGAGCCCCGGCCGCGCCCGAGGCCTCTCTCGTGGGCCCCCGGCGAGGTGACCCCAGCGGCGGGGTCTCCGGTGCTCTTGGGGGCGGGTGGCCCGGCGCTGGTCCCCTCCCCGGCTCGGCGCGGGTCCCTTCTCGCTGCTGCTGGTTGCGCCTTCGCCACTCCGCGGAGCCGGACCTCTTCTCATTTGAATAATGTCTAATTCGGGGAGGTTTATATTATTGAAATGGCCGCCTGGCTTTCCCCGCCTCTCATGTTTAGTAATTCAGACCTTTAATAACAGCCACTCACAGCCCAACGCCGTGTTTATATTTTACATTCGCCCCATGTGCTTTTGTGGTTCGATATGATTCTTTTTTTTTTTTTTTTCTTTCTTGGCAATCCACAAGGCTCTGAGATCAAACCCAGCCTGTGCTGGGAAGAGAAGGGGCAGCTAGGCCTGGGCTGCTCCTGGAGTTGCCTAGGCCTCGTGTTCTCTGCTGCTTGATTTATTTACTAATAACCAAAATGACTCCCCCACCAACTGCCACACACTTCCCCTCCTCCGCGGGCAAAACACACCCTCCTGGGGCCTTTCCAGCATTAAAACAGCTCCCAGCTAAGCATCAACTCTGCGGTGGCTTGTTTTTTCTTAAAAAGACTTTCTTAGCAGTTTGCAGTAATGTGCGGCCTTAGGAAAAAAAATCTTCTTTCTTATTTTCAGAGGCTGCGAATTCTGTTTTGGTTTATTACAAACATCACTTTGTTATGGGAATAGTTCCCCCGCTTCCTCACCCTCAAGTTAAACACTTTTTAGGCTTTTTGTAAAGATCTGAAGTATTTGTAAAACCAATATAGCCCCCCACTCCCCAGGAGTTGTAAGTGGCTGGGTATTTTGGAAATTCCGATTAACAGCACTTTTCATAATTTCTCAGTGGTGCTCCCTTCCCAACCTCGGCATTCTAATTTTAAATGAGGCTAATATTTTATGCTTACACTGTCATAGACTTGCTTACTTTAATTGTAGCACTACTGAACGCAGAAATGGCATTACGTTTTCTTTGAGTGTTGGTGTCATGGTTAAATGAGTGAAAATAGAAGAATAAACACATGCATTGTGTCTGCCTTGATCTTGGAACTTACTCTTCTCCCAGCACACCCACCCTTCTGCTTTCAGTTGTGGGAATTTATTTTACGTTTTATCTAAACTTAGGGTAGTTGGTCTGTGAAAGGCAGATGAACTTTTACTCTTTAGAGAAAACAATTTTGATTTTTGGTCTTTTCAGTGGGAAGGATTTCTTTAATATTTTTATTTTCTGTGGTGGTAATTTTTTTTCCCCAGTTGTGTTGCCCTTTGAGGAGAGTATTCGAGAAATGATGTTTTACACCTCACTAATGTGCTAACCCTTTGAAATCATTTCAGCCACTTTATGGAAAATGGCTAGATACATACTTCGTGGAACATTAGTCTTCAGTTTAATTTGAAACAGATTTCTAGATTTCATGGACGAGAAGCAAGCCAATTTAAAATACCAGTTCTCACCACTTCTTCCCCCTTTGCACATCCAGTAGGTAGATCCTGAAAGAAAAGTAGCAGGAAAAAAAATTGTGTAGCGTTCATGAGACTGTTCGGGTGAATGACTGCTTCAGAGACCTGAAGCATGAGGTTGGTGGACAATGAGCAGTAATATGATTTCATGCCTAAATAGCATATGTTTTTGCAAGATTTGGTCAAACTGATGATGTCATTGGACAGAGGACAAGGTGCAGTTAATTTGATTTATTGTCCTGAGGTGAAGTGTAGCAGTGAAGCCTTCTCATAGGGAAACCATTTATCTTGGGACAATTTCCTTTATAGCTCCAATTTAACCACTACCGAGGCTTGTAGCTGTTTTATCCAAGATGATAAGATTCATGGTGTATTTTTAAAACGAAATTTCCAGTAACAAACTTAATTTCTCTGTTAAAGTTTTTGTAATACAGGAAAAGGATGAGCATTGTTAACTGGCTTTATATTTTGATTGGCTTTTCGTGCTGTGGTAAAAATTCATGTCCTCATATTCTCAAAGGGAGAGAGTATGGATCTTAAGTAAGGACAATCATAGAAGGGACCCACCCCATGCATATTTTAGACGGATTTGTAGTGGTCCCCCAAACTCTTACAATAATTGTTTCTTAATTTAATCAAAAAATGACTCAGGAAAATGGGGAGACCATTTACCTTAGATCCTGTGTTAATAAAGCCGAGTTGAAGAGAATGGAGGGCAATGTGGTTTTCTATGTTGAAATCGGTGTTTCATAAAAGGTGAAGTACTTACATGAAGGTATGTACTTTGAAAATAGTTTTTAAAGACATAATTCAGAATTTTGGGGATTTGTCTTAATGTGAACAAATTGGTGCATTTTGTTTTGATTAGTGATTTTTAAAATTGTTCTATTGCAAGGTAGTGATCCCACGTATAATTTTTGGTACATTACATCTTGGTCATTTCATCATATTTTTTAGCCAGTTTATCTTGAGGTGCTCTGGGAATATGATGGCATTGCTCTGCCTTATTTCTAACCCTAGTTTGTGAGCCAAGCTTGCTAGAGTATTTTAGATTACTTTTGAGCCTTCCATACATCTGTCAGGTGGCTTCCACCAAATTTGTGGAAAATCCTTTGGCATTTCTTTCTTAACTTGCCCCACCTATTATAATGGTGCTTTTTTGAATTAAGGTCTCAAACATTTGTATGACAGCTGACCAAATGTTTTTAATTTCCAAAGGACTGTTCTGCTTCCGTACTATTGCTGTAATTTTTCACTTCTTCCTCCAAATTAGCTTCTATTTCCTTTCATTTTATCATTGTCAAAGATGCCAGTAGGCAAAGAAAAAACAAACATTGCTATTACTTAGGTTTAAGTGATGTATTATTCTGCCATATTTTAAATTTAGTATTCTCTGTATCAATAGGTAGCATAAAGCAGAAGAAATAAAATGTCTCATTGCTATTTAGGTTGATATAGCTGTCAATCTGTCGTTCATGTGGTTGATAGATTTTAGAATAACTTTTAGGGCTCAGGTCAAATTGTTCTCATGAGACCACCAAAGATGTTTAGTAGAACCCGAATATCTTAGGCAGCTTGTTCTAAAAGGACAAAATGGAAAATTTGAATGTTTTCTTTCCTAAGTGTTCTCCATAAGATTATCTTGAATGTGTAATTTAGTTGTAATTTTTAAATTTGTCATTCACTTCCATGCATATGCTTCCATTATACTATATATTATAATGTGTAGTACAATATAAAATAAGTATTATAACATATATATTCCTTTGTATTATAAGACTATAATATTATGTTGTAGTGATTACTTATGTAGTGATTACTTATGGTTACTGCTTTTTTTTTGTATTGAAAACCCACAGTCCTAATGTTTGCATTTTAGTCTTTATTTTAAGCACTGCTAAAAATAATCATGTGCAACTGCCATTAATTTGCTTTTATATATTAATATTGGTTTTATTACACAGTTTTGGCAAATAGTAATGATGTGTTTTTCCTAATAGAAGTGATTGCTTTTAGAACTATTCAAATTATTAGTTAAAGAACAGAATGGATCATAGACAAAGCGTGCTTTTGGTTCACCTATGCTCTTATTTCTGATGTCTCCTTAAACACTAAATGCCTGAGCAAACATACTTACCTGTTTTTCCAAGGAGATCTAATATTAGGAATTAGAGTTAAAAATTGTGTATTTGATTCAACGATACATACATATTTTTGGAGTTTCTGTGTCCTTCCTGAATTCTTTCTTTTCCTGTTTTTTTTTTTGTTTGTTTGTTTTTGTTTTTTTTTTTTGCTGTCCTTTTCATTTTGAAAGAAACTCTCTAGGCCAGAATTTTGCATATTTTTTGTCTTTATTATATATTGCCCAAGTAAAACAAATATCTTTTTGAGTGATTTAAAGTGGCAACTATTAAGATTCACAAAGAATAGCAATTTCCTTATGCATCCTTTGCTGAATGTTTTTTGCACATTATTGACATAATCTTTATGAGTAAAAAAATTGAGTAATTGGGTTTTTAATCAGTTGGTTTGTGCTGAAGTATTTCTATGTTCTAAACTAGTAATATGCTCTTAGATGCTCATTCAGTAGTAATAGCAATGGCAACAAAATTAGCACGCGAGTGGAGCATTGCCTGGCTTACTGATCCATTTATAGTATGTTTAGAATTGGAAATACGAAAATTGTTTTGAGTTTCAGGACCTCTGATCTGAAGAAGTTCTTTACATGTGATGTATGTTGTTTACAGGGTTCTGTGTGTTTTTGCTATGGGATGTTAATTTATTGAGCATTGGTAGCATATCTCTGTATACTTAGGAACCAGTGATGGATATAACTCCTTTCTTTTCCTTCCCATTTTTTTTCTTCTTTCCATTTAAGCAGACTCTCAAGCTTTCAGTGTTGCCTGAATTTTGCTGACAGAACTAGTACGCAATTGAACAAAAGAACAAAAGAAGAATCAGCAAACCTCTAGATTTATCAGACTCTCTTTTGAAGTACTGTTCAGGAAATTGGGTATTTATTTAGAAAGGACATTTTGTATTAATTTTTTTAAAAAGACAATGTCAAAAGCACAAAACTAACCATTTTGCTCCCCCTCCCCCCCCGTGAGCTTTCTCTTTGCAATAGAAAATATAACAGGAATAGCTGTTGTATAAAATTATATTGTATATATTACAAGATTCATTCATGTGGTCATCTTAAGTAATGCAGTTGTACTGATGACTAACTGAACATACTTTTAGAGAGAAATGCGACCTAGATGTTTTACTTTAGTACACTTGTTTTAGAGGTCTGCTTAATGAAAAACAAATTGTCCTTTTTTTTTTTTTGCTGATTCATGATAGAGCCAGTAAGGTATTATAATCTTTAAAAAGTTATCTTATACATTTCTTACCTTATAAAAAGTATCTGGTTCTGTGCCAGTCTGTGGGGATATCAAGGAGACACAAGACTGCTGTGGAGGAGTTGGCATAAAACAGGGAAAATTTAAAAACAGTGAATATAATTACAAATGAAAATACCAGTACCTGATAAAAAAGTAACAGGTAATGAATATCAGAGAAGAGATTAGGGTGTGTCCCAGTTTGATTTAACCAAAGCCACATGGAATGTATAGCTAGAAAGAAATTCCAGTAAAATCTACCTTAAAGCTTTTGGGATAAAGGAGAAAAAAGAACACAAGTCTGTCAGTCTGTTCGTCTGTCTTTCTCTCTTCTTTCTTTCATTCTTTCTGTGCTTGGGATGGAACCAGGGGTCTCCTGCATGCTAAACAAGCTCTACCAAGAGTTAGGCCATTAGCCCCTAGATTTCAGAGTTTATATAATGTCCTTCTGCCCTCCATTCTCTCCCTTTACCAAATTACTGCAAGCCAGAGAAGGCTTTAAGTAGAAGGTGAGACCTTTTAAGCAGAGCTTTGGAGGACAACACTAATTTAGAGGGATGGGAGGACAGAGAAGGCCATTGCAGGGAAAATTGTGGTCAGTGTTGTCCTGAACAGTAAGGAATGAGGAGGCTTTTGTTCTTTGTGCTGGGAGGCTGTGTGT